ATGGACTAGACATTGGCGATAGACACTCAAAGCTTTGTTCGGAGCAAAAGTCCAGGCACATTCCACACAGTGTTACAGTCTAATGAAATAATGCTGCTCAACTAATTTTATATGAGACTTTGGCTGCCAAACCAGAGCTGGTCGTGAACACATTAACCAGGTATGGGAGCTCCTCCACCACTTGTAGAGTTGAGCAGGTGCAGTGTTGTACGACATGAAATTCCCAGGCAGGTCATTTATTTTTGTGGAACATTTGCAAAGCCCCATTTCATGATGGAATTATCAAGGCACAGAACAAGATTCCCTAATTCCATCTCACTAAGTAGCGATCTTTTAACTATAACCAGGCATTGATTAGCGTATCATTGTAACCGCAACAAATGCAATGGTTTGTATATGACTTTTGGGAGCTTCTCAAACTACATAGTTATTGAATATGCTATGTAATGTAATGCATGGGGCCAGAGTGAATTTCTGTCACAAGCCATGTTGAACAGGAAATGGCTCGGAATCCTGGTCACGCAGCGTTAGACCATCTTGCCCAAAATCAAACAAATCCTCAAATGTGAGCAGAGGCATAGATATGAATACAAATAACAACCCAAATCCCCAAGCCTCTTAATAGTACTATAGGCCTTAATTTAATTAAGAATGCAGAGATTTAGTTTATGTTGAAAATTCGTAAGCCTCTGCTGTAGTCAATAGACAGAAAATACAGCAGCCCCTAGGTTACCATGGATGTTACATTCTTGGAAATTGCCACTCGAAAGCTAAAAGCGCGACATTCAATACTTAAGCCTTACCTAAGTAATGGCGTTAAGTAAACGTCAACTAAATTTAAGTATTGTACTGTATTCCAAATAAATTATACAATTGAAATAAAGAAGACACCGTATACAAAAAGTATTCCAAGACGAAAAATTGTATAGTATAAATCTATGAAGATAAAGCAGACTTTGCGCTTGTGTAGCTTTTTTGTGAACCAAATTGCGCCAACACACCCCAAACTTTCCACGCACACTCACGGGTGAGTTAGTGTGTTTTTGGCACAATTTTTTGCTTACCTTCTCACCTTCAACACCTATACCACCTGCACACCCCCCCCCCCCCACGGCTCCTCACCTCCCCCCTCGCTTTCTCTTGCCATGTGTTAAAGTCCGGGGCATTCTCAATACTTTCGGTTTGCCACACATGCAAACTCATTTTGACATTTTATCTACTACAATTCCACGCACTCACCATAACATAAGTGTCTCCACTGCACTGCTATATTTGTTCTCACAGATCTCCTTGCATGTCTGACAATACTAGACAGGCCCACCAGCATTGCAACAATGTCATCAACACCAAGATGCAAACCCTGCAAGGTGATGATGGCTACCATTTCCTACTCCGCCAAACTGACCCAGCAACAGGCTTGCCAAAAAAACATAAGATTTCCGCCATGGAGGTCTTTGCCTTCAGGATCATGATATGAAACGGCGGCTTCAATATCTTCTTGAGATGCAAAGAGCTCTTTCACCAATTTGCTGTCGACATGTATGCCAACATTTAAGCTTCATTCAATTAAACCCATCAGATGGGAATACATCCAACAATGTCTATCCTGAAACTCTCCAAGGGCAACGATTTAAAAGCTGCTCTAATTATTAAACAAACAAGCCCTGCGATTGTATAACACAACCGAAGAACCGTTACAAAAAACACATTTACCTACTTCATTGTCAGAAATCAATTATTCTAACAAAGCCAGCATGGCAAGACATTACTCATGTTTGATCAATATACTTTCAATGATGTTTGTGCGTGAGTGGGGAGCGGTAGTGCAACGCTTAGCATGCCGAGCTATAATCCCAGTGAGCCGATTTATATTTCCACACAGCCAAGCCACAGCATTTGGTTGTCGCCTGCTGAAGCTGGTTGTAATTACTGGCGAAACGTCGTACTCAGATTGTAAATGTTGTGGCTTGGCTCTCCAACACACAACCGGTGTAGTGCTGCACTAGTGACGAATTGGCCACGTGCTGTTTATGTGACAACCCCTTCCTAATTGGCTGTCGGGTTTACCAACACATTTCTATTTTTACGCGACCTAACCCAAACAAACCTGTATTAAGGACGTATATTTGGAGTTTGCGTGTCTCTCTCTCTCCCCGTGGTCGCGTGGATTTTCCTCCGGATCCTCAGGGTTTTCCCCTCCACATTTAGAGTCAACATCACCACGCGTTTAGAGTATTTGACCGACAGACATTTCCACACGTTGATAAGCCACTTTGTTGTGGGCAGGTCGCTTCTGAAAACAAGAGCGGTATAGCAGCTGAAGTGGGCTTGGCCTGGTAAGAGAAAAAAAACTGTTGAAATATTTAAAAGAAACAAAGTTTCAAAGTAGTGAGCCAGATGAAGACAAATTAAACTTAAGCAGAGAATTATAGCAAATGCAATTAGGCGAGGGCAGGAGGCAAGGCCCCGCATGGCTAGGCCCCGCGTTGTAATGTTCCAACCTGGACATCGATTCCATACGCGCTGCTACTCAATTGATATACCTACGAGAGAGAGACGGAGCGAGGCTCTACCTGGGTAAACAACAACAACAACCACCACAACAACAACCACCACGACAACAACAACCACCACGATGTCAACTTCTCACCTCGGATCTCAGTGAGCGCGCGCGCGGTGCAGCAGCTTCCGGATATGTCGTGACGTCACGCGGCAGCAGGAGGTGACATGACGTCACTAGCGGGGTTCATCACACAATCCCTCCCCCAACAAGCAGCTGTGTAATTGAATAAATTATGTTAATGAGCCGGGCCCACGTGGGGTGATTGGGCTTGGCTACTGAACCCGTCGCAATGAAATAGCGACGGTTTTCATGAATAAATTATGTTAATAAACCGCCAGTCAAAAGCGCGTTGGAGGGAGTGGGATTGAATATCTTGGTGACATGACGTCACTAGCGGGGAACAGCTTTCCCTGGCGTCTCACGCCGACGAGTTAATGAGCGGTGACGTCAGTGTGTGTGTGTAAACTGTGTGTGTGTACACTGTGTGTGTGTACAAACTGTGTGTGTGTACAAACTGTGTGTGTGTACAAACTGTGTGTGTGTACAAACTGTGTGTGTGTACCCTGTGCGTGTACAAACTGTGTGTGTGTACCCTGTGCGTGTACACTGTGTGTGTACAAACTGTGTGTGTACAAACTGTGTGTGTACACTGTGTGTGTACAAACTGTGTGTGTGTACCCTGTGCGTGTACACTGTGTGTGTGTACACTGTGTGTTGGCACAGTCGGGGGTACAGGTGGTGCATCGGCCAGTCAACTGAGTCAGTCGACCCATGGCACCTGGGTCTACCCCGTGCACATAGCTTGGCACAAGCGCCATGGTGACGTGACCGCCACTTAGTGGCGAATGGCGGTTGTTATTGAAACTGTGTGTCCGGCAAAACAAGAGATGGCACCTCAGCCAGCCATCTCATTGAGTAGCCATTACCAGATCATCAGCAGATGCAACAGGGCTGACCAGCAGGGAACAATCCCTTAACTATAACCAGTCATCGATAAGCATATTATTTTTAACCGCGACGAATGCAATTTATTTATACGGCCATTGTGAGCTTCTCAAACTACGTAATTATTGAAGATGCTATGTGATGTAATGCATTGGGCCAGAGTGAATTTCTGTCACAAGCCGAGTTGAACAGGAAATGGTTCCAACTCCTGGTCACGCACCTTTAGATGGGCCTGCCAAAAATCATAAAAATCCTCAACGAATGTGAGCAGAGGCAGAGACATCGAAATCAAGGAACCCAAAGCACCAAGCCTTTTTAGGGTATAATAGGCCTTAATTACATCAAGAAAGCAGAGATCTATTTTCTAGTAAAACACCCGTACTCCTTTGCTGTACTCGATCGACAGAAAATACAGCCGCCCCTTGAATATCGGAGGTTACGTTCTTTGAAAGTGCCGCGCGACAGATAAAAACGCGACATTAAATACTTAAGCCTTACCCAAGTAATGGCGTTAGGTAAACGTCAACTAAAATTTACATCACAATTGAAATACGTACTGTATTCCAAATCAACTAAAAATTAAACAATTGAAATAAACATTGGGAAACCGTGTCTCATGCTTTTGGTTACAGGTCTACCCAACACGTAAGGTCACACATGCTGTCTGCTTCTACTCGACCTTGTCCGAAAAGTCCTCCCAAAACTACACATCCACAAATGGATGTGATTTGTCTCGGGCTCCATTAGTGACCTGGAAGTCAAACCCTAGAGCCTTCACAGGTCACCTTGACGAATGGTGACGTTTCCCAGCTGCCATCTTTATTGGGTCCTTGCATCACAAACGATGGGCTTATGGAACTTCAAATTTCACACGTCAATCTCAGACTCTGCTCCTTGTAGACCTCCTTACACGTGTTTCAGTTTCAAGACAATTCAAAAGGCCTTCCAATTGTACATTAAGTGGTTTTTAATGTGTGTTCCCTGGCAGTTGTGAAGATTTGATTACTGTGTAAATGCATTCCAAGACAGTGCAGTCGTTAGATTCCGTGGAGGCGAGTTCTGCTCTTGGTGACATCACAAGCCAGAGAGAGGGGGAGGCCCTGACGTAACCCACTCGTTAATTTGAGGTGACGTCTTCAGAGGGAGCGTCTACATATTTAGGTAAACATGTGGTAAACAAGGTGGGATATCAATGCAGACAGATATATCTAAAGTTTTATTTAAATAGAAGTTAAAATTCAATAAAACCTAGGCTAGAATACAAATCTGTAACAAAAATCCACGATGCCTTCAAATGTGCTCTTTAAAGTACCTCCTTGCGAAAAAACAGATCGGCAGACATCTTTCATTGAACGTTCTCTACACGAAACAACGGAATGTTTTACACAAACTATAAATACCACGGCCTTTTAGGAATGCATGTGTAATGGGTTCCGGAGACACTTGTAGAGGTATCTTCTTTATTACAATAAAACACTCCAACAGTCCTGATACTCTGTTACAGCCTAGATACACTACTCTGGCTACGCTCTGGGGTCCTCCGGCTGTAATTACCCTAGGGGAGGCTAATTGACCCGACCCAACCAAGGTGCGGGTCTGGACTCTGGCTTCCTCTGAACTCGCCCTTACAAGGACGTAGAGCCGGGAGTCCCAGAGTCCCACCACCGGCCCTCACAGCGTCCCGGCCCTTACAAGGACAAGCGGGACGAGGGGGTCCACGGTCCTAAGCTGGCTGGTCTTGGGTCTTGAGCTGCAACTGGCCCCGATCGGCCAGGGAGCTGCCCTTTTATGCCTCGTCCCCAACGAGGGGTGGGGTTGTGTGCGACCCCAGATATCCCACAGAGCACGCACAGCCCCCCCCCCGTTGGTGGCGCCAAGGGGCTTAACTGTTTGGGGTGCCTGGGATCCTAGCGCCTGGCGCCGAGGGTTTATCTGCCTAGGATCCCAGAGCCCCCAGCAGCCCCTCCCCTCTTATGGCACTACACATGTGTTCAGTACAAGCCACCTGTGGACTGGTTTGGTGTACAATGTCTCAACAACAGTCCGGCTTGCTTCAACTGATGTTCATCGGCAAGGTCCATTTCAAGTCTCAGTTCGACAAAATGTATACGTAATACAAAATGATAGTGTTCTTGAGGAGAATGTATCTCCTATACGTAACTTGTAAGTGGCATACCTTAACTGATGAATGATCTGACTATGCTCCCGATTTCAAAGACAATGAGTTGCCCCAGTCAGATGCGTCCTGATTCACAAAAATACCCTTTGACCCGTATCACAAAAATAACAGCTCTCACGTGAGTTTTTGTACAGGTTACCACCAAAACAGATACTTTGTCCTGACAGCACATATTCCATGTTTGACATTAATACACAAAATGTTGTATGTACGTACAAAATCAGACAGGTATTCTTTCAATAATGATTCAAAATAATCAAAGGGCACATTGGCAACATTTTATTACTATACCGAAATGTACTGCGTCACGTTGCAACGTATTTACAAGTTGATCTCTGCCGAGATGAGGCCTATACGTGCAGCACTCTCGTAGAGGGAAGCCAAGTAGTAGTACATTCTCTATTTGTTGCAGAGGTTCAAGGTTCTAATCCGACTGGCATATCAATCATCGCCCCCGACTTACAAACTCCTATCCACATGCAGGCCAGTGAACGGTCACCTTGTGGCACACAGGGGCAGATGCCCATTATGGGCACCCATCGAGTGTCTAAGATGAGATATGATACAAAACACTTGAGTCACTCCTGGTTAGAGATCGCCCCAACCCACAGGTTCACAAAAACTGGCCACGCTTACACTGCAGTTTGAACCTAGAAATTGATTGTTCAACTTCACATTATATTCATTAGAAAGGCCTGTGACAAAGGTGCATCCATTGGAGCTTAATTGTCTCAAGCTTGCACATCTACCTGGTCTCCATTTGACTTTGTATTGTCTAAGAAGTCCACCCACACCTCCACATCCACAAACTCCTGGGAGTTGCCTCGCTCTGCCTCACAGTCAGAATTTAGTTCCTGCTTCACACTGCCTCCATCTATGTGAAGGTCCGATTTTGGAGTTGAATCTTCAAATTTAACCTTCACTTCTACGCTCTTCAATGTTACTTCTTCACATTTCACTTTCGCCTCTTCATATTTCACCTTGATACCTTTCAAAGTGTCCAGGCTGGGATTGTCTTCTGGTTCTTGTTTCATGAACAATGGGGACATTGCAGCACTTTGACTTTCACAAGCCGATTTCAGATTACACTTCTTGTGGATTTTCTGATGCGTGTGTGTTCTCTGGTGTTTTTTAAGATTTGATGAATGTGCAAACGCTTTCCCACAAACACTGCACTTGAAGAGTTTCTTTCCTGTGTGTGTTGTCTGATGTATTCTAAGAGTAGATGAATCTGAAAATGCCTTCTCACACACACTGCACTTGAAGGGTTTATCTCCTGTGTGTATTCTCTGGTGGGACTGAAGATTTGATGACTTTGCAAACGCCTTCCCACACAGAATGCACTTAAAAGGTTTCTCTCCTGTGTGTGTTCTCTGGTGTTAAGAGCAGATGAATCTAAAAATGTCTTCCCACACACACTGCACTTGAAGGGTTTATCTCCTGTGTGTGTTCTCTGGTGGGTCTGAAGATATGATGACAATGAAAATGCCTTCTCACACACAGTGCACTTGAAAGGTGTATCTCCTGTGTGTGTTCTCTGGTGTTGTTTAAGAGTAGATGAATACAAAGATGCCTTCCCACACACACTGCACTTGAAGGGTTTATCTCCTGTGTGTGTTCTCTGGTGGGTCTGAAGATATGATGACAATGAAAATGCCTTCTCACACACAGTGCACTTGAAGGGTTTCTCTCCTGTGTGTGTTCTCTGGTGTGATTTAAGAATGAACGACCATGCAAACGCCTTCTCACACACAGTGCACTTGAAAGTTTATCTCCTGTGTGTGTTCTCTGGTGTGATTTAAGAATGCATGACAGTGCAAACGCCTTCTCACACACAGTGCACTTGAAAGGTTTCTCTCCTGTGTGTGTTCTCTGGTGTGATTTAAGAATGTATGACCGTGCAAACGCCTTCTCACACACAGTGCACTTAAAAGGTTTCTCTCCTGTGTGTTCTCTGGTGTGATTTAAGAATGGATGACCGTGCAAACACCTTCTCACACACAGTGCACTTGAAAGGTTTCTCTCCTGTGTGTGTTCTCTGGTGTGATTTAAGAATTGATGACTTTGCAAACGCCTTCCCACACACACTGCACTTAAAAGGTTTTTCTCCTGTGTGTGTTCTTTGGTGGGTCTGAATATATGATGACCATGAAAATGCCTTCTCACACACAGTGCACTTGAAGGGTTTCTCTCCTGTGTGTGTTCTCTGGTGTCTTTGAAGATGTGATGACTGTGCAAACGCGCCTTCCCACACACAGTGCACTTGAAAGGTTTCTTTCCTGTGTGTGTTCTCTGGTGTTGTTTAAGAGTAGATGAATAAAAAAATGCCTTCCCACACACACTGCACTTGAAGGGCTTATCTCCTGTGTGTGTTCTCTGGTGGGTCTTAAGATTTGATGACATTGCAAACGCCTTCCCACACAGAGTGCACTTAAAAGGTTTCTCTCCTGTGTGTGTTCTCTGGTGTGATTTAAGAATGGATGACCGTGCAAACACCTTTTTACACACACTGCACTTAAAAGGTTTCTCTCCTGTGTGTGTTCTCTGGTGAGTCTGAAGAGTTGATGACTGTGCAAACGCCTTCCCACACACAGTGCACTTGAAGGGTTTCTCTCCTGTGTGTGTTCTCTGGTGCTGTGTCAAGTTTCCAGTGCGATCCATGCTGTTTGCATTCTGGTCGCATTGTTTCCTTCTTGTACCGAGCTGCGCTGAGTGCCTTTGCTCCATCAGACCAACTCTGCAGAGCGAGCATCAGCTGCAGACAGAAAAACATATCCACACCATCTCCGTGAGTATTGAGGCACAGAGGAATGCATATATACAGTCACACATGACTTACACATCTATACATATTCATATTTTCATGAAATAGTGAAAGAGATTCCCTAATTCATCACACGGGCTGATAAGGCACACAATGAGAGGACAAATGGTCATAAATATGACTGGACACCCAAGTGTCTTCAAAATGAATATTTACCAAAAACTCCAAGCACACAATTTCGGTTGTCTAGCTATGACAGGAATATTTATTTAAGAAAAATTAGCTAACATAGCAAAGGCTGTTGATACTATTATGCAGAAATGTATAAATTAATGTTCATTTGCAACTTAAAGGTCTGAAGCCAGGCTCAGATGAGCTTGAATGCGAGGATGAACAGATCTAACTTAAGCTACATATGTGCATTGTTAATTTCCTGACTGTTTCCATTCTTATAAAATCTTGTTCTGTACCTGTTGAATTCCATGACGAAATGGGGCCTTGCATATGTTCTACAAAAAGATCACCTCCCTGGGAAAATCTTGACTTAAAACTTTTGTGATAGCGGGAATTCATATTCTTCGGTTATTTCGGTAAAGTGAATAGAAGAAAAAAAACGACTAATGTAGACTGTAGCCTGGTTCTTAACCTCGGTGAGCATACTGACAGTCTATAATGTAGACTGTAGCCTGGTTCTTAACCTCGGTGAGTGTATTGGCAGTCTATAATGTAGACTATTGCCTGTTTTTATTGACAAGACCTTTGCAATGGACTAGACCTTGGCGATGGACACTCACAGCTTTGTATGTAAAAAAGTCCAGGCAGCTTCCACATAGTGTTACAGAGCCTAATGAAAGAATGCTGCTAGACTAATTTGAAGTGACACTTTGGATGCCAAATAAGGTCATGAACACATTAACCTGGTATAGGCGCTCCTCCACCACGTGTAGAACGACCTGATTATTCATGGAGAGCTGAGCAGGTGCAGTGTTGTATGACATTAAATTCCCAAGGAGGTATTCTTTGGGTCTTTCGGTAAAGTCACGTCACTTAACCGAAAGACCCAAAGAATATGAATTCCTGCAGTTACGAAAGCTTTAAGTCAAGATTTTCCCAGGGAGGTGATCTTTTTGTAGAACATATGCAAGGCCCCATTTCGTCATGAAATTCTCCAGGTATAGAACACGATTCTCCAACTCAATATCATTGAGTAGCCATGACCAGATCATCAACATGCGTAACATGGTTGACCAGCAGGGGACGATCCCTTGACTATAACCAGGCATCGATTAGCGTATTGTTACTGTATGAAATGCAATTTTGTATAGGGCCATTGTGAGCTTCTCAAAATACATCATTATACTTAAGCATTACCTAAATAATGGGGTTAGGTTAACGGCAACTAAAATAAACATCACAATTTAAATAAGTACTGTACTGTATTCCAAATAAGGAATCATGTGTGCATTAACCACAATACTTGTGGTCAGAAAGCAAACAAAAACACTCTGCTAGAAAATGCATGGTCTGCTGCTGAGGTAGACTGTTGTAAAAGGTTTGAAATGGGTGTAGCCCAAGGGTCATAAGGAAGTGGCCGGGGCTAGTGATGTTAATGTAATAAATAAGCATGTTAATGTGAAATCGAAGAGTGGTGCAATCCAAAGCGGCCTCCCTACAAGACAGAGAAGGAGCGAGGCTCTACCTGGGTAAACAACAACTACCACCACGACAACAATAACCACGATGTGAACTTCTCACTTCAGATCTCAGTGAGCGGACACTAAAATAAATCACGCTTGCTAACACAGAGCGTACGCCTGGGATACACTGCCGAGATCATCGATGACCTCGCCGCCGAGAAAGTTCAGCAGTATCTGACAAGCACAACGTGGTGGCAGCCAGATGCGAACTGCCCATATCCCCCATCTAACACCCTTGCCGAGTATACGCGCACGTGAGAGATTTGCTCGCGAGCGTGCGCAATTCTGACGGCTGGAACATGAGCACACCTTGCAAGTCTTCTTCCAGAGGAGAAGCTCGCGAGAACGGTGAGGGGGGGGGGGACGAGGGAGCCTCCAGGACCCCGTGAGACAACCCCAGGATGGGTGGCAGGGATACAGACCGGCATAGGAGATCACAGGCCATGTAACCCAAGTACGTGAGGAGGTAACCCAAGTATGTGGGGAGGTGACCCAAGTACACCTGAATGTGACCAAGCTGCAGTCCACAGCGGAGATAGTCCAGTCCGAGGTGGGAGGGCTGCGCTCCATGGTCGGGGGGCTAACCAGGCGAGTATCTCAATAAGAGGCAGAACTCGAACAAATGCGCACTGGGAGGGTAAGGGGGAGTGGGAAAGGGGCCTCTTATGGAGCCACCGCCCTTCCCCGTGCGTGCTATCTATGCGACCAATGGGGGCATCTCGTGAGAGACAGTCCCCAGATCGCCGCGCGAGAGAAGCACCAGGGTTAAACACCAAGGCCTCCCTAAAGAGGGGACCACAGAGGGGTGCAATCCACGTGGTCCCAACACAAATAAACTGTCATGATAATGGTGACGAATGACCCCCACGCAGATATTGACAACAACACCCCAGAATGTGGCGACTGCGGGTGACTGGCTGCGGGAGCTGGTGGCAGGAATAATGGGGGCCACGTCGCTCGTGGAAGGGCAGGTGAACAGGCGGCAAACCCGGATTCTGCTGGACACGTGGGGCGGTAATGTCACTCGTGAGTGCAACACATTGCAGCGTGGTCGGGGTTGAAGTGGGCCGCCGACAGGCCCCGGATCGTGCGCTGCACACTGCAAGTGGAAGTGGGATGGGACTGCTGGGGAGGGTCACCCTTAAGGGTCGCCTCGGACACCAGGTGAGTAACCAGGAGTTATACGTGTCGAGCGTGTTATGCCACGAGTGTATTGCTGGTACCGACCTCCTGGAAAAGTTGGGGCTCAGCGTGCAGCCCCGCCGGCGATGCGCCACCGTGGGGGAGCAGATTCCTTTCTTGGGACAAGAGCCGGGTTGCCCCCGCTTCGAGCCCGTGGCCGCTATCCTGGCGTCGGCCGTCACCGTCGGCATTGGTGTTCCATTGGGTTTTCCGTTTTTCTCCCAAACCTAAACTCAAAATATATTTGGAGGTGGTCAAACAGTCCAATGCAGGACCCTCCTGAAACATAATCTTTAACTTCTAAATAAGAAATTAAATTGGAAAACCCTCAAACACAGTACACTATTTTTATTTTACCAGGTGAGGCCATCTGAGCTGCATAGCTCTTTTTCAGAATCGACCTGGACACAAATGATAGCTCAACTTAGTGGGTTAAAATATGGAAATGTATTGCAGCAAAATTCTCAAAATGCATGTTTCTAAATGTGGAGAAAAATCAATGCCACTACAGGGAGAGAGAGAAAAAAAATAAAAATGTAAACTGCAATTATAAATGCGTCAGGGTTGGAATCGAACTCACGCACGCAGAGTACGCTCACGGAGTACACTCACACAAATGAGTACACTCGCTCACTCGGATTATTTTTTCTCCGGGTCCTTCGATTTTTACCCCCACATTTAGTAACATGCATTTAGATTATTTGGCTGCTACAATCTTCCACTTGAAAAGCCATTTCGTTGAGCTATCATCTATGGCCAGGTGGCTTCTGACAAAAGATCTAACAGCTCTGTGAGACTTAGTTGGTAATATAGAAATAGTTGTTCATCGGTCTAAATGGTGCATCAGCAAAACCAACTCGGCAGAACGCTCCTGAATTAGAGTGCTGAGACTCATTGTGGCCATGTACTCGAGTGTGCACCATGGTGGCTGGGAGATGTTAACTGCCTCTCCTGGAATACAGGAGCTGGTGGGTTCGATCCCGACCCCTCCTGTATGTTTGGAGTTTGCGCGTCTCTCTCTCTCTCCCCGTGGTCGCGTGGATTTTCCTCCGGATCCTCAGGGTTTTCCCTCCACATTTAGAGTCAACATCACCACGCGTTTAGAGTATTTGACCGACAGACATTTCCACACGTTGTTAAGCCACTTTGTTGTGGGCAGGTCGCTTCTGAAAACAAGAGCGGTATAGCAGCTCAAGTGGGCTTGGCCTGGTAGGATAATAAAAAAACGAAATACTTAAAAGAAAAAAAAGTTTCAGAGTAGTGAGCCAGATGAAGACAAATTTAACTTAAACAGAGAATTAAAGCAAATGCAATTAGGCGAGGGCAGGAGGCAAGGCCCCGCATGGCTAGGCCCCGCGTTGTAATGTTCCAACCTGGACATCGATTCCAGACTCGCTGCTACTCAATTGATATTCCTACGAGAGAGAGACGGAGCGAGGCTCTGCCTGGGTAAACAACAACAACCACCTCAACAACCACAACGACAACAACCACCACAATGTGAACTTCTCACCTCGGATCTCAATGAGCGCGCGCGCGGATCGGCAGCTTCTTGGTGTCTCGTGACGTCACGCGGCAGCAGGTGACATGACGTCACTAGCGGGGTACACCTCCCCCTCACGCTGATGAGGTAATGCAGTGGTGACGTCAGAGAGCAGGGTTAGAGTTGAAGTTCATTAAGATTCCTATTCCATTGATCCATCTATTGAACAATGACCCTTTGGGTGCGCGAGCTCAACAATTTGAACACTGTGTGTACAAACTGTGTATACAGCAGAGGTGTGGACTCGAGTCATGTGACTTGGACTCGAGTCAGACTCGAGTCATGAATTTGATGACTTCAGACTCGACTTGGACTTGCATAACAATGACTTTGTCCCACCTCTGAGGTGTGGACTCGAGTCATGTGACTTGGACTCAAGTCAGACTCGAGTCATGAATTTGATGACTTCAGACTCGACTTGGACTTGCATAACAATGACTTTGTCCCACCTCTGGTATACAGTG